CTATTTTTGGCCATAACAACCTTATAAGTGCATCACTTAGCTAATCCATTTTATTGCTAAGCACTATCCTCTTCCCCACAAATATTTGGTCTGACAAGACACTGCTACTTACACGTCCATGCTTACAGATGTAATCAAATAATTCACCACCAGATACATATTCCATTACCATGAAAAAATCAGTTGGAGTGCTGATAACCTGGTACCTTTAAAAGAAAAGAAAGATTTTAGAAAGACCTTCTTAGGAAGAACAGGGAAATATTTTTAAATAGGTTATTAGAAAGTTTCTAGCAAAGAGCATTTGTATTGACATTACATTAATTATTGCTTTCCATTTCTGAAAAGCCAGCTCTTGTATTGCAAGATGCAAACAAAGGAACACAATCTCTTTCTGTGGTTTCTTGAAAGGATCTGTTTCACAGATTTACCTTTTTTCTTAAGCTTTAATATAATCTTTTGAAATCTCTGCTAGATAAGCCTGTGTGTAGGACTAACCTGATTTTCAAATTTACTTTTTGGCCAAGATTTACAGCAATGCCTTAAGAGGCAGGCTGCCTTCAAATGCAAGAACGAACATTGGACAGATATTTGTCTGAGGTGATATGACCCCGGCACCCGTTCCTGCCCGGGGCAGGGGGTCGGACCTGATGATCTGTTTAGGTCCCTTCCAACCCTAAGCACTATGAAACTATGATACTGTGAACATTTGAACTCTTTTTCTTTTCTCCATATCCTGAGGATCCAGGACAAAGGAACTCTGGATGCCAGTAGGAGAGTCTTTTAAAAATACCCAAAAATTATGGAGAGAGTATAAAAAATGTAAATTCTAAAATAAAAATAGAAACGTTGTTAAAATAACCCTAATCTTACAAATCCATTACCTACCCTCATGCAAGAGCTGCAAACGAAGTCTGTACATATACCCTAATTGCAAACGAAGTCTGTCTGTGCTCTAATTCCCAAAACAACACGACCTGGCATAAGTCCACCAGCCTCAGTAGAACTACAGCAATTTAGAAAAACGTTGGCTAAGATTCCAGCCTGTTTTTCTTTTACCCAAATGATGTGTTTGCATTGCTCATTGTTGCATTTCTTCAGCCTGTAGATTTTATTTGAAGTGATAATATTTCCTTGAAGAGATTTGGCATGAAAATTCCTGATGCGAGGTAAAACCTTCAAAAATTAAGAAAACCTTACAGGAGTGCTTTGAGATCCTGAAATCCATCTGATTACTGTCACAGTCTCTGATAACTTATTACTATAAGCAAGGGGGGGAAAAACGATTAAAAAGGGAAAATGTATATGCACTGGAGTTCTCACTTGCCTTTCGAACTAACTTCAAGATTCTGTTACCTTAGATCTCGCTTATATTCTTCACTTAGAAAAGAAAATACAACTTAAAATTAAATCTATGACAAATGCGTGAACAGGTGTGAGTCTGTAGGGTGCCAGAAGCATCTCTGAGAGGCATTTTATGTTGTTTGATTCATGAGATGGTCCCAATCTGTTCTTATACCAGTGCGTGCTACTGTGGAGTAACTATCAACAGATACTCCAGAGTTAGTCATTTAATTGGATGAAGAATTTGGCCCTTTGCCTGTAAGAACAATGTACTCACTAAATCTCTCACCAGTTTTAAGGGTGATCTAAACAACAGATCACCCTTTCAATTGCTGTTCAACAACTTTGTCAGAATTGAAAAATGTGGCAGGCTACTACTGTGGCTCAAGTAGCTTTGAGACTTGTGACTATTAACTTCAGTAATCAGACTACAAAAACTAGAACTCTTGGTTCCAAAATGATACCTTTTATTAGACCAACTGGAAAATGGCAAGAAAACTGTCCTTTTCTGCAAGCTTTCAGGATCCAAGTCCCTTCGTCAGGCTCTGGGAAAAGTGTAGAGACTTCCATCTTCAACTCCCTCTGTGCAAAAATGAAGTTTATTTCCTACCTATGGGGACTTTTTACCATCTTGTACCATCTACACTTTTCCCAGAGCCTGATGAAAGGACTTTGATCCCAAAAGCTTGCAGAAAAGGACAATTTTCTTGCCATTTTCCAGTTGGTCTAATAAAAGGTATCATTTTGGAACCAACAGTTCTAGTTTTTTGTACGTCTTTTTGCCTCAGACCAACACAGCTACCAAGTACACCCCAGTAATCAGACTAGGCCTTTATAGGGGAGATACGTAGTTATCCTGTGGTCTATAAAATCAAGGGCCTTGTTACACATTATGCTGTGAGCCACACAAATGTTGATCGGTGTTACTGCTAGCTCAAGTTTGGAGCGGTTATACCCTTGGTCTAGAAACCTCCTCTGGTTGTCCCCCTCCTGCAGACCTGTGACTTGCCACTAGAGGCCTGGTGAGTAGGGGCAGGACTAGGAGATGCAGCTGTGAGTTGCTACTAGAGGGCTGGTAAGGCAGGGCAGGCATCTATCCCTGCTCTACTGGCGGGGGTGTAAGAGATCCTGGGATACTGGAGGACTTCAACTTGGGCAGAGCACCTTAATGGAACAGAAGCTGGGTAGCACGGATTAGGGATAACCCTGACCTGGAGTGGTATAACTTTGACCTCCATAACAAGTGCTTCAAACCACTTTAAGGTGTTAATGTGCAAACAGTCCAGGGGGTAAGAGGTCCAGGAGCAGCCCATAATTACTGTGTAACAAGGCCCTAAGTGTCAGTCCTGAAAACACTTGCCTGAAAGAGAGTATGGTTACTTCCATTTCCTGGTTGTCAAGCCATTAGTTCATGAATCCTATTGACATATGGCCAGCATTTCATCTTCTGAATCTGATCGTGCATGTATTTCTCAAGCAAAATTCTCAGTACAGTACAGGATGATGAAGCGAAAACAGGAGGAAGAACAATCCCTCCCACCGAGTCCTATGAGCAGGCTACGGGCTATCTGTTCACACAGAGATCATGACTACTTTGCAGAAGCCAAAGAGGCTTCCATAGGTAACACTGTCTTTGATAGCTTACTACCATAAACAAGAAAAAAAAACCAATTAAAAGGGAAAGTGTATGTACTGGAGTTCTCACTTGCCTTTCTAACTAACTTCTAGATTAGGATCTTGAAGATGTTGGAAGATTTGGCAGCAAAAACCTGACTACGTGCTTTAACTGCAAAGGTTACTGTCGGGAGTCTCAATGAAGTCAAGTCAAATTAAGAATGTACGTAAATCTTTGGAGGGTGAAGGACTTAATTTATAGCTTGTGTAGAGTCACAACCAGAACTGGACAAAAATAGCTGGATTCAAAGCCCTTTCCAGACACCTGATAGCCCAGAACTGCCATGCTGAAGCCTTTTGAAATCAATGGTGGATTGGCACTGATCTCACTGAGCTTTGGATCAGTTTTCCAATGAAAAGAAGTGCCAATTAACTTGCTAAGTATTACAAAACACCTTGAATAAACAGTGAATTCTATTCAACCCGTCCTGTTCTCCATTATACTTGTCCATATGCAAAAAAAAAAAAAAAAA